ATAGAGAGAGATGGTCACACCTAGTTGATGATTCGGTTACTATTATTATTATTATTTGTTTATCTTAGAACAAAATCAATACCAGACAAAGCATATGTATAAGAATAGATAAAAACTTCTAAAAAAAATATTATACACAATTTATTGTTCTTTGTGCTGTCGGGTATATTGTTTATTCCTTGGATGCATGTTTGAATGGCATTTTTTCGTGGTAAATAATTCATTTATTCAAATAAGGATTGGTCTACGGCATACTCGTTTTTGTTCTTGATCCTGTTTCTCGAGTATGTGTTATAATTAATTTCGTCAATGATGGTAATCATTTTTCCTTTACATTGGACAGACAGACAGACAACAAAAAAACCTGATGTAATGATGTTGTAGAAGCCACAATAAATAAATAACCGGGTGTTAATTTGATACATAGTATGCTTTTTGACAGTAAGCTTGTTTGTCTTATCCATGCGAATAGGGCTGGTTAGCGACACATAACACACTTATGCATACAGACAGATAGATTAACGTTACTGCTAATTAAAACATATTACTCCCTAGAGATTATATTATTCGTGAATGTATTTGTTGTATTTGCAGAGCGATATTTAGAATGCTATTGTAAATAAGAACACCAAGAAACAAGTAAGTTTTATAATGGAATATTCTGTACTGCTTAATTTATTAATATACCTAATTAATTTTATGTATGATGATAGCGATATTATTGTCGATGAAAGAAAATTTTTGGTTTCGTTCGTCTGTCCAAATTGTTCTTTCATCGGAATTAGGTTTTAGGTTATATCCGGAAATTTATATACAGGTTGATCTCAAATTTGATCTGTCGTAAAAAATCCCCCGCGAAGAATGTTATATTTTTAAATTCAAAAAACAAATAAAAGAGCAAAGTAAATTGAAATTACATATGGATCAATAAAATAAATGGAGAAATTTAAAATTAGTAAATTAAGATTAAACTTAAAACTATACAATTTAGTATATATTCTTTAAAATGATACATACATATACATGTATATATACATATGATATTAAATACTTCAAATAAAAAAAAACTATAAACAATGGCAAAAAAGGAAAATACTCTGATATTTAAACATGTAACCTCATACTACATTCTCCCTTTTCCTTTTTAATTGCTATTATTTCTACCAATTATATGATAAATAATATTTATTTACTCATTTTTTATAATAGTATAATGTATATGTGAAGTATGAAAGCGAATCGAATCGAATCGAAATTAATCACAATGTAGTGTAATATTATTAGAATAATACGTGTATGATATTAACTAATCATATTTATTTATATGTCATAAGAAACTAGGTGTGGAAGAAGTCAAGCAATTTACTCTGCATCTTCATTTAATTTATTTTTATCCAAGAAAAAAATCTCTTTAATCCAGGCACAATCGCAAGCGTGAAATATTGAAAGATAAATCAATAAGTCAATTCGTTTATTTCCTCGGAAAAACTCGCACGCTATTTTTTTCGCGATACATCATTGGCATGTCCCGCATGCAATTTATTATTAAGCTAGCAAAAGCAGAAAAAGTACTGCGTATAGCCTTGTATTGGCTTTCGTGATCTTTTTTCAGCTAAAAGTATTAGCGTTAGTAACAACGTTATATTTGAAAATAACAGTAATATATATATATATTACAATAACAGTAAGAATCTCAAAAATTAGCATATTTCAACTGTTAATTCACACACAAATAAATAAAAATAGAGAATATACAGGGTTTTTGTTATCAAAGAAAACCTTACCGAAAATAAAATATTCCGCGAATAGAAAGCTCAATGCATGTCATCATCATAATGATAAATATAACTCGGATTTAAATGGAAAAAAGAAAACGCAAAAGAAACAAACGCCCCCACATCTAAGAAAAAAGCCTACATAACTTTTGTTCAACACTTTTTCCTTTTCTAATCTGTGATGCGGCTCATTGAGAACTTTTAAAGGAATACCGCTACCTGCTGCGTGGGGCTGTATTATGTGACTTAATGAGAAATAAGAAAGATAATGTGGACGATCAATCCAACAATTCAAAATTCAACAGCATTCTCTTCTTTTTCTACGATATGGGTTAATGACATATTAATAGTATCAGGTAATAAATAAGAAACATGTCAATGCGACCACGGACTATTCGACACATGAATAAATGTATTTTGGAAAGAATAGGAAAATCCTTATTTATCGTCAAGATAGAGATGTATCTGTATGTGTATTCAATTGCAAAATAAGAATTTTCGGTAAATTTACCCTCGAAACAATATTTTTCTTTTGTAGGTCGTTTCTTTCTTAGGCGATGATGATGATGCATTGAAGACGATTATGATGAAAATACGCGTCTACTTTACTCTTTTGATTATTTTGGTTTCATTTATTCATACATGTTTCAAAAAGGGTTTTCTTACTCTAAGCTTCATTTACTATTTTTAAAATTGGTATTTATATTTTGTTTATCAGTTAGTTATGAGGGAGTAGAAAAACTTGACGCGAACAATAATCCATGTAAAGTCCAGCATGTTTACATTATTTTCAGCTGCATTGTGATAATCAGAATTCCAATCATAAAAAAAAAATACGCGTCTTTTATTATTCTCGATAACGACACAATATTTTAAGTTATGTGTGTTTGCGTCATGTACCTTTTTTACAGTGACTTCCATGTAAGATAGAAGCTTAATTTGGGCTAAACGGATGTTTGAGCCCCGTGAATTTTTTTTTACGACGCAAATGTTGTGTGTTGTTCCCCTTTTTCTACGTATAATATGAATTGAGTTAATTTTTTTGTGATTGTTCTTTCGATTCGTTCCTCTTGTATTTGATCCCTAACAATTTTTTGTTATTACACCGTTGTTGCACTTTCTTGTTTTACTCTATTATAACAACTATATTAAACATTATTATTCTTCATTATCATAAGTTTAATTATACCCCGCAAAAAAACACGTCGTGCATCGTCACAAAAAAAAAACAAAACCGGAACATAATCGAAAACCATATAACATGCATACACGCATGTATTTACAGGTTATTGCCAGTCAAAATACTCTCGTAATTTTTATTAATCATCATTCTCAGTAGCGGAGTGACAGGAGGGTGGTATGATTTTTTTTCCTGTCTTGTGGCTCGAAATTATGTGGGGACAAAAAACAATCAAGCGAATTTATCTTTTGTTTATTTACGTGTGCGAGAAAATAAATCATCACGAACATTTATTAAATGGCAAACAAACCTTATATTTTTGAAAGGAAAACGAAGGTGATAAGGCACAATCAAAGAAAACCAAACAGGTTTGAATACCGCTGTTCACCAAATAACGACAATTTGGCACTAATAAAGAAACTATTTCCATCGTTATAATAATGAGTTTATTGATTGATAGAAGTTTTGCATAATCTCATTTAATCCATCCCAGCCAACAGGGTAAATGCCTATTTACGACATTTTTTTCGACTTGATAACACGGTAATTTTTTTTTGGTTATTTGTGTTTCCGCAATAGACACTATTTGTAAATATTAATATGAAACTTAATAATATTGCAAGTAACAAAAAATACAGCAAGTCTTTGTGGCTAGCGTTAACGTTAATATTTTCGTGACAAAGCGATAAATATAGAATAACAAAGTGAATTTGTGTTCCTTTCCAATGATTACTAATTCAGTTAATCTATTAAGAAGAAACCGTGGTTTTTGATATCATTTTTATTTGTTCCTTTTAGTTGATAGATAGGTTTTAGGTTTGTACTTTCCTGAAACCATTCATCCATTGACTCGTTCCTGTACTAAATCACAGCTTTTTTGTTTCATCAATAATAACGATAACGATAAATAAAAAATTCGCGGTTGATCCTTATCCGGATTGTAGAGGTTCAACCGGATTCTGGGTGGATTATGGGTAATGCAGGCCAACTGCTGCGCCTTTATTCAAATACGTTGTGTATATAATGTAATGTAACGTTGCCCAGTCGAATAACTGTTACTTATGCAGCGGTACGAATACGAGATTGTAACATTAGTGACTAAAATATCAATATTTCACATTATTAGAATCGAGAACTAATCCTTACTCGCATTACACTTGCATACAAGCTTCTATTAAGAAAATGCACCTTTTTAACACCATCAATGCATATTGTATATACCAAGAACACCAAAGAACATGAATGGTAATAATAATAATCAGAATAAAAGGGATTCTTCCATGCAGAGTTTCAATTGTGAAAAGAGTTGCTTATGTACACCTACATGTAAACGTTGCTAATTTTTTTTTGTCTTCAAAGGTTGAATAAACTCCATTTATTCGCCTTCTAAATCCTTCGAACAGGATAAATACATGTTTGTATAAAATCCATTTCATTTTTTCCGAACATGCATACTTTCATTCTCGTCGTCGATTTACTTATTCATATGCGAATTACTATGATACATTTGTACATTCACTCCTCCGAATCAATTCCTTAATGCATAACACAAGAAAATAGCATGATATCGTTCCGATGCATGCAACATCACAATAAAATATTATGTTTAGAATTAAGAAAATGCTTCTGTTACCATCACCACAATAACGGGACGTATGTATGCCTAAGCCAACCATTCCGTTGCTTACATTTAGCTCACTTATTCAATTGATTCGTTAATTGTTAGCATCCTAAATAGTCAATTCAAGCAATCCATCCGAGAAATGCTCATTTTATTTTCTTTCCGTAAACGTCCTTTGATTAAATAATGTTCTGTTTTTTTCTTGTCTTTCTAAAAAGAACTTTGTTAATTGTGCACGAGAAACACTTTTGTTTCTAGATTATCGAGAAACTGGACCGGTGATTAATTCACAAGTGCACTCTCGATAAATTGAAGCCGGTTTTAAATACAAACCGGATTTAAGAATAAACCGGATCAAAGTGGTTTAAGTTTCTGGTAACACAAATTCTCTTGACTAAATTAAAATTTTTTTTGCTTTGATAAGATGCCGAAAGAAAAAAATTCTTTGGCCAAGAAACTTAATCATGCATCTTTAAATAACCCATCTGACTCGAACAAAAAAGAGCAACCTTCTGCTTCGAAAAAGCGAATAGTATCTAAAAAAAATGATCCAGTCGCGATAAGAGAAAAACATGATAACGATACAAACACATCAATGTCAAAAATCACGACTAGCAACAATTCTTCCACGTTAAAAACAAAAAAATTTCGTGTGATTGCTGGTAGTTATGAGCGAATCCTTTATGGAATTGATGCAAAATGGATAAAATCTAATGTAGGAATGTTTCAAAACGTCGATTTTTTGATAAAAGATAAATTTTCTGAGCAACAGATCAAATTCGAATAGGAAGAATCCAAATTGCATTTAGAGCCGATCTTTATTTTTCCTGCGCATATTGGATGTATTAAGACAGTAGCAGTTGGTGGTCGGTATCTGGCATCAGGTAGCACTGATGAAATAATAAAGTAAGTTTAGGAACATCAAATTTTGTTATTCTATGGAACGATTTATACAATAAAAAATCAATTAAATATCAATAGATTATATGATCTAAAAAAGACAAAAGAGCTTGGTTCCCTGATACAACATCAAGGATCGATTACAACTATTCAATTCCATAATAGGAGTCACATGCTTAGTGGTAGTGACGATGGTAATATATGTATTTGGCGAACGAAGGACTGGGAATGTCTGAAAATAATGAAAGGACACAAAGGACGAGTCAATTCCTTGGCAATACACCCGTCTGGTAAAATTGCTTTGTCGGTTTCGAATGATAAAACTGTACGTTTATGGAATTTGATGACTGGACGGAAAGCAAATTCAAATAAAATTGGAAAAGGTAAAAATATATATATATATAGATGTTGAAGAATTTCATCTTTTTTCAATACCTTCGATTATTAAGTAAATTTGCTGCATCATTCAGAAGGTGAAATAGTAGTTTGGAATACGACCGGTGAACATTATGCGATTTTAATGAATAATGAAATTGACATATACAGTGTTAAAGTGAGACAAGATTTTGCAATAAATACTTATTCTTTTCTCCAAATTTTAATATCAATAATTTATCATTCTCACGACAAGCAGAATGCTCAAGTCGTTCATAAATTTCAACAGCAATCTCGGTATATTTGCATGAAATTTTACGAACATCGAGAATTAGGCGAATTACTGATAACTGGTAGTGAGGATAAGGCGATAAATGTCTACGACATTAACAGCAATAAATGTTTGGTGACTTTGATCGGTCACAAAAATAGGTAAAGCTCAATTGTCATTTTTTACTCGACTAGATATTATCAAACAATTGATTCTGAATTTATCCTATAGAGTCAAAGCTATCGATATCATTCACTCTATTCCAGACGAAAAATCTATATCGCCATTAACTATTTTGGCATCTGCTTCATCAGATGGTGCAATCAATGTGTGGAATTTAAGTGAAGCGTTAGAATTTTCGAAAAATAATAATCATGATATTCAAAACAATCAATCCGATAATAACCCAATAGCGTTCACGAAAACATTAGCCTCGTATGACACTAAAAGTCGTTTAACGTGTCTTGTATTTTCAGGAGGATTTAGTGATGTGGAGGAGGATGATATTGGCGAAGACGACAACAATGATATTGGCATGGTCGATGAAGATAGCGAGTAAGAGGAAAAATAAAGCACAGAAAATAGTACCCGACATTACTAAGGCAATTTTCTTAAATTTGACAACAATAAAATAATTGAAAGTCGTATAAAGTTTACAATCATGGCACTTTATAAAATACGTATGTGCTTTGATCCTTCAGTGACAAAGAACTCTTGTTCAAACCTGCGTGAACTTTTTCAGTCCAGCCGCCATTCGCACTATTGATGGACCAAATGAATCTCTAATGTTTCGTAATTTCAAAGCGAAATAATGTGATATACAACATTACATCGGATAAATTTCTGAACTGGCATATTTTAAAGACTAGGAAAAGAAATATCACCGAGTGTCACGATTAAAAAGCTTGTATATTATATTTCAAAATTAACAAAATTGCGTTCGAATTTAATAAATTAAAAAAAATAAAATATACATATTTTCAGAAAAAATACAAAAAATAGTTACCTGTTGCAAACGCAAGCACAGTAATAGAAAGAGACAATATCAAGGGTAAAGGGATGACAGAAACCGATTTAATAATAATTATAAGAGTAAAGAGTAATAGTAAAAGAAAGTTAAAGCAAAAATAATAAGCCAAGAAAAAAAAATTTACAATTTTTAAAATTTTTAATCATTAAGGTACCCCCAAAAAAATAAATAAAAGAATAAAAGAATAAAATAAATAAATTTGAGTTCAATTCATATCGATATTTATATTCAAGATTATGATGATGATTATGATGTCGTTATTTCATGGATGAATATATTAAACCGTTCATGACGTTGTGATGATGGACGATAAAGACCTCACGACGCGCAATTAGACTCTCCCTTCAGTAATAAAATTACTATTATATTATCACCTTTCGTTACTGTGTGGATGCGAAGGCAACGGTGTCCTATTCCTCTTCACTAGTTTGATTGGCTGCAATTTGGAAAGGGGGTGGAAGAATAGGTTGGAGATAAGGAGGGAAAGGTAAAGAAAGAGAATAGAAGGAAGGTGGAAGGGCTAATTTCATAACAACTTGTTCGCCTTGTAATGACATTTCAAAAATACGGCTATAAAATATATAGATGTATAGATAAAGAATGTGAATTATTTGGAAAAGTTAAGTTTGTGTTTAAAGCGGCAGTTAAAAAATGGTTTTTTTAAAAAGAAATATAAAATACAAAAATAATTATATTAATGATAGATATGGTTATGAAATGAAGTTACAGTGACGGTGATGGTCGTCGATTGTCGGTACGGAGAATGACAGGATGCACACAGAGAGATAGAGAGAACGGGCAGAGTAGTGGTAGAGAAAATGGAGAGAAAAAGAAATAGGGACTTTAGAAACCCGACTTTACAAATTTCCCCCCAAATTATCATATTTCGAGCACCCTCCAACATAAAAAGATTAGAGTAATTAAATTTGATTGCTATGTAACTCTGCCTGTAACTGACGGATCATCTCTAGCATCTGTTCATTTTCGGCCTTCAATCGTTCATTTTCTTTGCGTAGCTCGTCCTGTTTCTGTGCTTCTTCACGTAGTGTTTCGTTCTCTTTGGTAAGCCCATCGATCTTATTCTGGGAAACAAAGTGATCGAATTTAAACGTATTCTCGAATTATAAGTATAATTATAATTATAAATAAGGGAAGAAATGACCAACTCACGTCCTGTTGATCATTTTCTTCTTCTAGCCATTTTAATTCCATTGTAGTATTCTTTAATTTCGCTTCTAGGTCTTCAAGCGAACGCTGATGCGTATTTTCCAATTCGGCAATTTTCGCATTGTGAGCTTGATGAAGAGCTTCAAGGTCCTTTGGGGATGGCCCTGAATTATTATTCGTGTTCTATTCAAACAACGAATAAATTAAGATAACTCACCAGGTGTCATTAATTCGTAAAAAATTAGTATAAGTAGGCATTACCTTGACGCGTTTATTTAGTTCCTCTAATTCCGCCTTTTTAGACTCTGTTTCTTCCTGCAATTTCTGAGTCTTTTCTGCGTGTTTTTGCTCAATAGTTTCAATTAATTTGGCGTGTGATGTTCGAAGAGTCTCTATCTCAACTTCGTGACGCTGTTTGAAATTATTCGAACAATTTGAGATAATTGATTTTTTTGTGTGACGTGATGATAATAAATTTTATTATATAGAAATCATACTTCGATTAAATCTTTTAATTTCGAGTCCGAGTCCGACTTCGACGCTTCGACTTCCTCGACGTGTTTCTGAGTGAGCTTACTAATGTGCTCGGTAATTTCCTAATATATAATTATTGATAAATAAATTCGAAAGAAAACAAAATTACAAAGATAACAGTTAACAACTTACTTGAAGTTGTTCTTCATAATTCTTGTTTTCTTTCCTGGAGGCGGCAAGTTGATTGCGTAGTTTCTCTTGTTCTACATTCTGAGCATCAAGAGTGGCTTTTATATTGGCAAATTTTTCTAATTCTTTCTGATGTTCATTCTTAAGAACTAATACATAAGCCGAATGCTCTTGTCGTAAATTCTAAAAAAATAAATAAAAAATATTAATCGAGAAACAAAGACTATTTCACATAAATCCCGATGAAAAATCAATAGATAAAAAAAATACCAACCTCGAGTGCCTTAGAAAGAGCAGAATCATGCTGCGATTGTATTTCACCAATTTTACTGTTGTGATCTTCACGAGATTCATTTAATTGACCGATTGCATTTTCGTGATGTGATCGAAGTTCTTCAATTTCACTCTGAAGTTTTTCATTGTTATTTTCTAATTCGCTTAATGAAGATTCATGTTGAGAAATAAGTTTGTTCAATTCGCTTTCATGAAGCTCTCTATTTTTCTTCAATTCTTCTGAAAGTGCATCGTGCTGTGATTGCAATTTTGATGTTTGAAGCTTGTACTTTTCTTCCTGAGCAGACAATTCTTTTTGATGTGTCTCGTGGGTTCGTTTTAATTCGTCGAGTAAAGAATCATGTTTTTGTTGTAGTTGACTGGTTTCCAGAATATATTTTTCATTACTCAATTCGAGTTCTGTTAACTTGGATTTATGATCAGCTACCAAATTAGCAATTTCACTTTCGTGTCTTTCAATTAGCGCATTCTCGGTTGTCTCTTTAAGCGATAATAAAATGGCTTCGTGTTTATTTACTAACTCAGCAATTTCACTTTGCTTTTCGCTTAAGCTACTATCTTTTACCGCTAATAATGTGGTTTCATGTTGCTTTTTAAGTTCATTAATTTGAGTTTCGTATTTTTGTACAAGTTCTTCATCGAAAGATGACTTGAGCAATCCAGTCTGCTGAGCATGACTATTTTGAAGTTCTTCCACTTCTTGAGAATGTTTAGCATTTAATTCTTGAGTTGATCTCTCGTGTTTCGATTCAAGTTCCGCTTTGTAGTTATCAAGTTCCGCCGAATGCATTTTCTCAAGACCCTCCAGTTCAAGATGATGTTGACTAACAAGAGAATCACGAATTTCTGCTTTCGCCTTTTCGATTAATTCCGCTTTTAAGCTTTCAAACTGATTTAATTCAGTGGCGTGCTGTGTTTTAAGGTCTGCTATTTGTTTTTCATAATTTTGAACTATTTCTTGATTGGAAGAAGTTTTGTGAAGTTCGAGTTGTTGAGAATGAGAATTTTGCAAATTCTCCAATTCTTGCTTATGTTTTAAAGAAATTTCTTCGACTAGAGCATTATGTGAAGATTCTAATTCCTTTTTAATTGACTCTAACTCTTCGGCGTGTGCTTTCTCGAGGTTATCCTTTTCGATCTCGTATTTTCCATTCAAAGATTTCTCCAACTCTTGCTTCGATTTTTCAATCTGGTCCAAATCAACTTGATGCTTAAGTTTGAGCTCTGCGATTTGTTTTTCATATTTTTGCAAAAGCTCTTCATTGGACGACGATTGCATGAGATCAATTTGTTGGGCATGCGCTTTTTCAATAGTATCCATGTCTTGGGAGTGTTTAGCGTTGAGCACGGCCATTTCTTGAATCACGGCATCATGTTTAGACTCTAGAATTGATTTTATCGATTTCAATTCCTCGCCGTGTGTTTTCTCGAGAGCATCTATTTCTCGATTGTGTTGATGATTCAAGTTTGAGTGAAGCTCAACCTTTGCTTTTTCAATCATTTCGTCACGTTCCTCTTGGAGTTTTTGTAATTCAGCTGCATGGGTGGATTGAAGTTCATTTAATTCGTCGGAATGTTTCACTATTAGAGCTTGCATAGCAACTTCAATCTCACCAACAGTTTCTTGCTGCGTAGACTAATGTAACAAAAATTTATTTTAATTAATTAATTAATTCAAGGAATTGAAATTGAGGAATGAATTTTTATGATCCGTTTTTTTTAACTACCGTAAATTCCTGTCTCACACGTTCCCGTTCTTGTTCGAGTGCTTCTTCATGCGTGGCTCGCAAATCTTCCAGTTCAGACGAATGTTTATTTTTAAGCATCTCAAGTTGTTGCTCGTGATCGCTCGTTGCTGTTTTAAGCGCGACTCGTAATTTTTCTAGTTCTTCGACTGCACCTTCAGTTCCTTGAACTTTTTGAGCCAACTCATTTATTTTCGTGACATGTGCAGTTTTAAGTTCTTCAAGTTGTTGCTCGTGCTCAGCCTTAAGTTGAGATACAATTTTCTTTTCGTAATCTTTTTTGATATTCTGTTTGATGATTTATTATGATTATTGTGATTATTATGATTGTGATGATGATGATGATGATGATGATAATTATGATGATTATGATTATAAAATATCACTATATAAATTTGTATAAAATATATTTACCACTATATCGCTCTTTAGAGAATACACTTCTTTTTTGAGCAAATCAATTTCAGCCTCTTTTTTAAGAACTGATTCATCCCGTTCAATTTGAAGTTTCAAATTGTCCTCTTCATGTGTTTTTTTCAGTTCTTCATGTGTTTTTTTCAGTTCTTCATGTGCTTTGTTCAGTTCTGCTAATTGTTGAGAATGCTTTTGCGATACATTTGACGCGTCGTTATTTTCTTTCTCTAGATTTTTCTTCAGCTCACTTAATTCCACCTCGAGCTGTTTTAAAAGAGTTTCCTTTTCCTCGAGTAATCGCGTAAGTTCTTCATTCTGAGTTGAATCATTTATTAGATTAAATTTGAATATGATATAATTACTATAAAAATCCTTTGTTATGAAAATAAACAAACCTTTTCTTTGAATTCATTAATCTCGGCAGTAGAGATGGCTTTTGAAGCAACACCATTTGCAGCAACAGGTTTTGCTGCTGTTGTTGATGCCGCAGCGGATTTGGTAAGGGTGGTTGAAGCGGTAACTGATTTTGTTTTTGTGGGAGAAACAGGTGTCGGTGTTTTCTTTGCAGCACTAGAAGCTGCTGTATTGGTAGTAGTAGCGCTCCTTTTAAGACCGGCCGCCGTCCCAGCTTTGTTTAATTGACGAGTGGGAGAAGTAGATCTGGAAGCAGCAGGGGATACTCCTCTAGAAGCAGATGGAGTTCCCATTTTTGATGCAGTGGGTTTTGTGAGCGAAGATGCTGCGGTTTTTATGATTTTTGATGGCGCTGTTGTTGTTGAATTGGCCCGGCTTGTTTTAGGAACAGTCGGTGCCACTTTAGATGCAGCGGCAGTTTTTGTCGCAGTTGAAGAGCTAGTTTTTGTAGCGCTTGTAGCACCACTAGGCGTACGAGTTCCAGTAGTAGTTTTAGACAGAGTAGGCGATCGTGAAACTGATGAAACTGATGAAACGGAAGAAGTGGACAATCGACGTGAACGTGCACCAGCATCAGTAGCAGTTTTGGCGGTGACGCTTGTAGGAGTAGTAGCAGCAGGGCTGCTTTTTTTAGCTACTCCTCCTGTTTTAAGAGTGGTTTTTGTTGGGGTTTTAAGAGTTTTAACAGCGATTTTCCCATTAGACGCAGATTTTTTCTCTGGTTTTCCTGTTGGACTTTTTGGCGGAGTCAAAGGATCAATAGGTTTGTTATCTGATCCATCCTCGTTTTGTTCATCGTCTGGATTTTTCTCGATATTCACTATATGATCAGTTTCTTTTTCAACCACCTCAACAAAATCAGCCCCTGCCTCGGCGGGAGCGGACTCTTCGTGAACTGAGGTGTCGATGAAGCTTTCCACGGCAGCAGCCATGATTGATGTTATATTAATTGTTTCGTTTCGTTCTATATAGGTTTTTTTTGAAATAGAAACTATTAGTAGGTGCTTATAGAATTATTTTAAAGCCGATCGAATGTGACTATTTTGATTTATTGATTTATTTTTAATTATGAAAATATTCTCTTTTATTTGCTTGCGGGAAAACTCGAAACAAACTAACGAGTCAAGCTGAATAGATAATAAAAGTAGTAACGATAGTTCAGTAATAATAATAATAATAATATGCTTGCGTGATTGTTTGTACGTGCATATATGCGTCGTCTGACGCGTTCTCAAAATAAGGTAACTAATATTCATCAGGCAAAGACACGTCGAACACAACATAGATGAGCGAACACATACATAAAAACAAATCACTTTTTTTAATGTTAATAGATTGCAAATTACCTCTATCTAATATATGTACTTTCACACCACAGTTGAATAGAAAGTTAGTTTACCGGTAAAAAACTTTTTCTTTCTTACACTGCTAATTATTTTTTTTTTATAATTTGATTTAAAAAAGCCTAACCTATAGTAGATGCTTACACGAGAACTAAATGTGATTCAATAAGGTTTCTTCACGGGAGAAAGAGGAATTATTGACTAACAATATGATCGTCGAACATACTAACTATATATATATCCAGAGATCAGGGAACTGAATCTGTATAGCTACACGAAAAGAATAAAAGAATATCAAAGATTTTCGATCCACGCGATCACATCGTCTTATTCTTATATACAAAACGAGTTCACTACTGTTGCTCCTTTGTGTTCCCAAAATTAACCTTTAGAGTTTTACTTCTTGATAAGAAAACCCAAATACGAACTAAAGAAACGAAACGAAACGAAACGAAACAAAATATAACGCCAAAAATGTGCGGGCTAGAGACGCATCCAATACATACATGCGTGCATCGGATAAAGGCACATTCATCCATAGAGACGCAGAATTCGATATTACATTTATCATGGCGGAATTTTATCAAGAGTCGATGATGAGATAACGATGATCACTCTTATTTGACAGAATTAGCATCAAAATGTATGCGCTCGGGCATCAATCTTAATGACGCCAAAAAACCACGTTGGGAGAATACAGACAACTTGTTGCCAAACTCCCCCCAAATCAGGAGACTTTGTTTGTACGTCAAATAGAATGGGTATTTTGGCCCCGCATTACTATTAAATTTTACAAATTTTATAATTAAATCTTAGAAAATGTGATTTTCATGAAAATTAATTTATCACCAAGATTTTTTGTGATAGGAATTATATTATTTACAATAAGTGAGATTACAAAATTAAATATAAACCAGTACACACCCCTACTCTTACAATAAATTACTGGAAATCCAAAAAAAGTATAGTAAAAATTGAAATTTTCTCTATAATAAAATTTTTATTTTTATTAATAAATATTTTTTGTTTTTATATTAAAATAAAGCTAAGAATCTGTATTTTAAGATATATTTTTATAGATTATTTAAATTTAATTTCAAGAATATTTCTGATTGTAAAGTTAATTACACAAACTTTTTTTTAATTAAAATTCAAATTTACTAAATTTTAATTATAAAAGTTTGTGTAATCAACTTTACAATCAGAAATACTCTTGAAATTAAATTTAAATAATCTATAAAAATATATCTTAAAATACAGATTCTTAGCTTTATTTTAATATAAAAACAAAAATTATTTATTAATAAAAATAAAAATTTTATTATAGAGAAAATTTCAATTTTAATAATTTATTATAGAAATATATAATTATAAATATAAATAAAAATTAATTTATTTACAGAATTACGATAATTATTTGAAAAAATTTGAATTTCAAATACTATAATAATAAAGATTACCAAATCATTATAATTATAAATAATAAAGATTACCAAATCATTATAATTATAATCTACTTAAAAATAATATTTTAACTTGTAACAATCAATAATATAGTTGTAGTAACCAAGTAATTTAGTTATAATTAGTTGTAGCTTTATTATAAAATATGATTATTAATAAAGAATTATTTTAAAGTTAAAATTCTAAATATTTTTTATATAAATTATAATTAATTTGCAATTAAAAATTAATTTAATTTGCTAAAAATTTATTTAATTTACCAAATATTTTATAATTAAAAATTATAATCTATTTGAATTCTTATACATTAATAATTATTTCAAATATAATATTAAAAAATAAATTAAAACATTGAAAATAAAATAATTAAATGTTTTATTAAAAAATCAAATTAAATAATTATAATAAGAAAATTTTTATAATAAAAAATATAATTATAAATAACTTAATTATAAAGATATTTGATTATAAATAAAACAAATATAATATAAAATTCTTTGCTTTATTTTTGTTTTTATAATTAATTTATTTTAATTATTTATAATTATTGAATTTTATTTTAATATAATAAAAAAATTGTAAAACTGTTAATAAAAAATTCAAAAATTATCAAAGATAAATTTACAAAAAACAATTAAAAAAAATACAAATATTAAAAACTAGTATTATAATTTAAAAACTATTAAATTTTGAATTATTTATTCAATAATTTCATATACAGTGGCAATCAGAAATAATGCAACGACGTCAAAATTTACTAATTAAACATAGTAAAATGCGTATTTTTCTC